AAACACTTGTATGAAAAATAAGATCTCTCATAGGCCAAAGAAAATTAAGACTTCACATGTGCTAGCGAGTCGGGCTCTTGAACTCCCTGAAAACAAACACTACAATTAAAAGGAACCATCCAACAATTATCAGAAAAAGCTAATATGTGGTTGCTATACCCAAGCTATATTAGAACCTATCAGAAAAATCTTATAAGTGCAGTTTTTAAATGTATAGATATTTAGGATATAAGTATTAGTCAGACGACACACCTTCTCGCCTGGGAGGGCTTTGCTAGATGTGAGGCCCAGAGATTAAACCACAAAAGCAAGCTACCCCTTTTGGTTCAGAACCATCTCATTCAACAGAACCATCTCAACCATTTATGGGTAACCATATATGGCTCAGGAGAACCTTCTGTCTTAGGGACAGTCCACTTGTGCACAACTCTGAGCAAAAGTATGACCTTGTCATCCTATTGCAAACTTACATTCTTTAAGCGACCTTGAATGACGCCATATATTGCAATTATATAGGTACGTATAACACATATGCACAATGAGTAGAAAGTAAGAGAGGGTTTCATTTTACAAGCAGTTTAGCAGAGCTAAGCCTTATACTTAAATCAAAGATGGGTGTCATATACACCACATTTAACAATATAGTAATGGGTGTCAAAGCATCTGTGACCCCAACAACCACATTCTTGGGTTAAAAATGAAATTTTCATGTTCAGTACACCTCAAATTAAATAATTATTCCTTCATCATGTGCCAATTTTCAGCAAAACCAATCACAATTTCAATAATAGATTATTCCATCCTAATAGTTTGAATTTAAAACTACCAATATCGAGAAAGAAGAGATCAAATATAGTGAGCTATGGAAGGACCATAAGAAGAGCGTAACAATCAGTTTTTAGAAGGATAAACGTGTATTGCTACCTGCCATTTACAAAACTGTTTTGTTAGGAAATTAACCAACATACTATTAAATAAAAAAACTTGAACATAAAGGCAATTATAAACACTTCCACTAAAACTTGAATCTTTTGCCAGAAAAAGCTAATGATATTTTTTCTTAAACATGATGCCTTGGAGAACAATTGGTTCCCATAAAAACAACCATAGAATTAAGTTTGAAAAAGTAGATTACACATATTAAAGAACAAATCAATTAAAAAAACTACATAACATGATACTACCTCCGTCCCATTTTATGTGTCCTACTTTGAGTTGGCACAATATATTAATGAAATGGTTGAAAAAGTAAAAAGTTGTGGTTGAAATTTGAGTGTAATAGAGTGAAATATTGTAGACCATAGATTTCATTCCAAGGAAACGAGACACTTATTTTGGGACAACCCATAAAGGAAAGTGGGACAGGTAAAATGAGACGGAGGGAGTATATGATAATTGACCATTTTCAGAAATCTGATGAAATCTCAAATTTTATACTGTATAACCTAGTCTAAAAATGATGACATATAAATCTGAAATTTAATTTTCGAGATTCATTTACCTTGTACCAATAAGGTGAAAAGAAGACAAATTTTGATATCAATTCATGGTCCATCTAACAACCCTCAACCAAAATGATGCTTCTTAGGGAGGAAGATTATAGAACCAAATCAGCAATAAAAATAAAAAACTGAGAAGGTATAACACTGCAAAAATAATCTTATTTTTGAGAGAAAACTTGCATTTTTGACCCCTGATTCCAACCAAAACTCCTCCCAATATTTTGTTGCTTGTATTTACAAAATTTAGTCTCTAAATCCATTAAATCAATAGATCTCAATATCTTCGGGTTCATACTTTGCTGCTTAGTTTCCTACTCCCACATCAATCGTTAGAAGTTGATTGTGAATTGACCAATTAATGGTTACAATCAAGTAAAAGTAAATAATCAAATACACCAAAATTTCCAAATTAAGGGATGAAACTCACCAGAGCACCAGTGATCGAGTAAACGGAATGAACAAGACCGATGAGTGGAGTTTGAAGAGAAAAGATATACTTCGTATATGTATATACGACGTAATTTAAGAGGCTTAATTTATACAGAGTTGTTTTATACGGATGATAGGGAAGGCCAGGAACGACAAAGGCTGAGGAGACGATTGAGGGCTGTCGAAACTTAACGGAGATGACAACAGACGGTTCGAGCTTTAGTTTAACGGAGATGGAGAATTAATACCGGTATAAAATAATGAGTACACTGGTTGAAGAAAAGTTAACGGAAGTTTAAAGAGGTGAAGACTAAAGGAAGAAAAGTTAGAATATAATTTAAGGGGTACAATGTTTTAAAATGAATGTACAATCCAATCTAGCTCTATTGTACCACCAACACATTTCATATACCCAAAGAACCCTTACTCTCATTCACTTTTATAAGTTTTTATTTATTAGAGAAATATCACCTTCCAACTTGTAAAAAGAGATTGAACTCTAATTTCTCAGCGCATACTTGCCGTTACTCTGCGCGAATTCATACTGAATCTACTTAGCAATTTCAGCCTCTCTATTTCCCCAGATTCCACCTACCCCAGGGTCGAATATATCCACCAGCTGCTAAAATATTAACTTTCTTGCGCACACCAAACCCACCGTGAATTAGCTCTTACCGTTGGAATTGTATATACTCCATCACTATCCGCATGCCTGGATATATAATGAAATTGGTAGAATTTGCTAAAATAAATTTAAAAAAATTAAAATAAGTTTATTTATTAAATAAAGAAAAATCCACGTGAGAAATGAGACAATCAGACAAAGGGTGGATGTAGCACCTATTGAAGACAAGATGCAAGAGTCTCGCCTACGGTGGTTCGGTCATGTGCGTAGAAGACCGAATGATGCACCTGTCAGACGCGTTGAGATGTGTGGAGAAGAGGCATGGAAGAGAGGGAGAGGAAGACCCAAACAGACGTGGGTTAGGACAATCCGAAGTGATATGCTTCTTATTAGGTTGGATGAGAGTATGACTTTGGAGAGAGCAAAGTGGAGGGCGGGTATTCGTGTGGAGTAGTGATCTCATTTTATTATTATTTCCTCTCATATTTTTCTTCTTGTTTTTATTCTTTTATCCTTATATATATAAACATTATTTTTATCCCTTTTATTTTATCATTTTTAAGTATATTCATCCCGTTTTATATTATCTTTTTTTATAATAGCTTATTTTTTATCTTTATTTTCTTTCTTTTCCTTTTGATGGTGTTATCATGTATCGATTCATGTTAGCCGACCCCAATATCTTTTGGGACTCTAAGGCTTGGATGTTGTTGTTGTATTAAATAAAGAAAAATCATATGAAAAGGCCGAAGTAGTTCTCTCCAATAAAATCAACAATTTAGTCACAAAAATAATTTTGAATTTACTTATTTATTGATTATTATAAAGTTGAGGGCAAGAAATTAAAAGTCTAATGTTGGGCGAGAGATAATAATGATAAACCAAAACCTTAAAATTCATATTTTGGTTTTTTATCACACATATGTGATGCATTTTTAGCAAAAAGCATCACTTTCATCTACGAAAACATTTTTAACTTCTCATTTCATCTCCCTACTCTCAGTTAGTTTAGTTGCGGATGGCATAGATAGCTCGTCTTTCCTTTCCTTTTGCTCTATAATTAATTACTCCGTAACATAAAAAATTGAAAGCATTTTTATATACACATCATTTTGAACAAACAAAGCCATGTTTTGTTTGTAAAAACGCTACCTAAAAGACAAAAAAACAACTTACAAAGTGTGTAGGATAATGTGCGCAAATTATACCGTGGGATCGGCACACCATCTACATGTTGTACCGATCCCAAAAACGGCGTAATTTTGTTTATTAAAAAATTAAAGACTCCATAGCAGCGGCAAGGGATGAACAGGCCAGGGGAGCTATCAGGAGTTGCCGTCCATTTGGATCGGAGCTCCTCAACGACGAAGTCACACGGCAGAGACGGCGTAGCTTGCTGCTCTGGACGGACTTGTTAGAGAAAAGGACTGGTCGCGTTGCCGCCCATCTGGACGGACTTCAGCCGGGGATAGAGATATCAAAGACGGACTGATTCGCGTTGCGACAAAGCTTGGCCACTGCTGGAAGGTCGATTTGGCCGATTTATCACCCTTCAATTTGATAAACATCATGGATTTGGCTAATTTGCCCAATTTGACAACCTTCAATTCCATAACCTTCAATATCCAGCAAGATAAAGTTGGTGTATTGGTGTAGCCTACTCCGTATATCTTTAGCTGCTAGAAGAGATGAAGAGGGTGTAGGGCTTACTTTGTAGTTTGTACGAAGTATATCTTATTGCTAAAGTTACATTTCAAATAACACAATTTACATTTCTTTTTATCTCAAGTTACATATTTATAACCATGAATTACATGTCAACTTTCTTCAACAAGTTACATCATACTTATACGCGAGTTACATCTTACGTACAAAAGTTACATCTTTTTAGAAGTGAGTTACATCTTCTGAAGCGCGAGTTATATTTGTAATAACATGAGTTACATAAAAAAACAACCCTTGATATTCAAACAAAAAAAATGATTTTTTTTTTAAATCCTTCATAATATTAAAAAACAAACATATTCACGGTTTACATAAAGTAATTGTGCAATTAAAACTCTCTTTTTCATTGTTTACATTGAAATCAATGTTTTATTTCTTATACTATGTATTTGATAAGTTACATTTCGAATGAACTTGAGTTACATTGATCAATAACGTGAGTTACATCGTTTATACTACAGGGACAAAAAAACAGTTATTGTTCACGCGTGTACTGTTCACACGATTTTTTTTTTTAAAATTGTACAAAACTACATCATTTTGAATGTTAGAACACAATGCTCACCGTGGGATGATAACACAATATACGAACGGGATAATGTGTACAAAAAAATGTACACAAATATATTCCATAGTTTTTCCAGGGGCGACGTGGCTCCCACCCATCTTGCTGTCCATAGACACAGACAGTATTACTGTAACTTCACTTTCAAGGCCCAAAAAATCCGCCTCTCTCTGCAAAATCTCTTTCTTCTTCTTCTTCGCTTTGAAGGGTGGGTGGGTAGGGTTGTGGAAATTAGAGGAATGGGTTCGTGTGGTTCGGTGCACAAAGGCCAACAAACACATATGAAGGGACGCCATGTGATCGGCTCCAAACTTGTCAATCCATCTCCCCTCACACTCCAAATCACCGCCGTTGACCACTCTAAGCTCTCCGCCCATCCGCCGTCACCTCTTCCACAGCCCGCTCCTTCACTTGACTTTGGTTTGCTTCTCTGATCTTTCTTATTTCCTTTTTTTATTCAGAAATTCCGAATCTTTCTGAAACTGTAGATGCTGGGTAAGGTTGTTTCCTCAAAGATGTTCATTTTTCCTCAAAAGGTGTGCCTTGAATTTGACACTGTTTTCGTGTAAAGTTGGAACACTTTTTTGGGATTGGGCGATCATAAAGTTTTTGTCTTTGTTTCTAAATGAATTTTTTATTTCCAGCAAAAGCATCAGCTATGGAACAATTTCTTAAGCTACACCTGGAGTTTAGTTTTTTTTTTTTTTGTATTGTCTTTGTGTTTGGAGCTATGGCTGCCGGCTTATAAAAACAATAGGAATAGATGCTGTTTTCTCATAAAGTTGTGCTCAGTCTTTACTGCCTGCTGCCTGACTGCCTTATTATGTAACAAATTTCCAACAAAATTTGATTTGAAACTGCTGAATCCCATAATAGGAGCATTTCATCTGCAACACAAGTTAATCCATAAATTATCATGTGAACAAGCTAGAATTTTAAAAGACTAGTCGGGGATACAATTTGTTCAGGAGAGGTGAGGTGAGAGCTTTGAGGTGTAATCCTTAAAAAATGTTCGCCAATAAATAATATTATCGATACACTCAATAGTTAACTGCTGAGTTCCAACTACTAAAGCTGCCTGCACACAATTAGAAACACAGACACACACTAGAGTTCAACATGAGTGTTCACCTACACGAACCAACATATCACTTGTTTGAAACCCAGGGTTAATGCTAACACACAAATATGGAAATCAGGTAGCTTAGTTCAAATCTGAGATCTGATATTGACTCTCCCGGCCTTTTTATTATTTACAGTCTCACAGTAAAAACAAAATAAAAAAACCGCGCTTCAAACAGAATCCTGAACTGTTTGGGACGTAAGCCACAATACCTATTATGGACGCTTCATCTTAAAATTTACCTCAAAATCCGTCTCTTTAAATTTCATTTAACATTTTTTGTACCTTGAAAAAGGAATCATCGAATATTATACTTAAACGGGCATACAATGTCTCTATTCATTTTAGAGATGGCAATTGTTTTGGGATAGAGAAATTAGAAGTGTTTTGTGTTGGTTGTTAGTGATAACTTTGTTGATCCATGCGAGTGAGCTCTCGATACAACTCAAAAAAATCACTTTCATATACATTTGTGATGGATAATTTTGTATTTATATTTTTTGAGTACTTCTTTTCTAACAGGCAGCAAGGAAGAAGCATTTTTTGATTCCCAGCTGTATTTGGAGTCTGATTGTGAGGATTATGACTTCCACAGTGTTAAAGGAGGTGAGTTACATTTTTAGGCTAATTACGTATACCATATTCTATCAGGTTTTGACATATTTTTATATGAGCCCCGATTTTGTTAAAGTTGATGAAAAAGATCCATCAGCCAAACTTTCCTTATCTAAAACCAATTTCGTGCTCTGTAAATAATCTTTATGAGTATGAAAAGCCCGGTTTACTGAAAATCCAATTAATCAACGGCTGGGTAGTAATTTTCAATTTAATCGAACCCTTTGGGTAGATGTACCACTTTTTAGCTTAATTTTTTCGGGGTGAGGGAAAACATTTGCCTCAGCAAACAAGTATTTTAAACGGATCTCTAGTTGGTAGGATGTAATGTAAATGTAACGTAGGGAGTATTTGCTTTTGCTTCTACTTAAAAATGATTTTTAAGTGATTTTAGAGAAAATGCTTATTAATAAAAGTTGGTACTGTTTTAGAATAGTAGTAATTAAAGTGAAAAAGTTAAAGATTGATAAAAAAGTATTTTTTGATGTAGCATCTTATTAAACTAACACTTCATAAATTTGTCAATAACCAAACTGCAATTCACAAAAACTATGGGATGCTTTATGATATCTATTTCGTCCGATACATTTTGAGAACAAATAAAACCACTTCTTATGCCGCTGGGCAAATTTGGAGTTCTTAGCGTCCTCCTCAGTGAGCTTGGTGGTACAACACGAATCCAACTAGGAAAGGCCAGGTCCGATTAAACTTCCAGCGGAAAAGTACTGGCCGTGGATTGAATTGCCTCATCTTCCGGTTATGCCTTTGTTTGTTGGTCTCTCTAGAGAAATGGATGTTCTCCAGCAGACAATTATATACTCCCAGCCTTAGAACTTCGTCATTTTCGAATTTTTTGGTCAATCATGTTCAACTTTTGACTAATTATATATTTTTGTAGGAAATTGTTTATAATATAAAAATGGTGTGGAAATGTTTTTTTGTTACAAATACGTTCTTAAAAGTATAAAATATATGGAGTATATCTTTCATAATACTCCCTCTGTCTCTGTAAAAAAAAATATTTGTATTATACAAACCAAAATAACGGTTCAAACTTTATCACCATTGACTCGAAAAGTTAAAGATAACAAAAGTTTTAAGGGACGGAGGTATTATATAATATCCATATATATATTAGAGTAAATTCCCCAACTAGGAGCAAAACATAACAAAAGTGCAAAACTAGGAGTCCAAAGTTCCGTGTAGTTTCATAGGAGTAAAAATACATGAGTTGACAAAAATACCCTTAATGAAAACCCAATTGATTTCTTAAAAATATAAAATAGAATAATAATAATAAAATAAAAGCTACCTGTATACAAATATACAATAATGGATCGCTTTGCTCACGTACGACCACCGCGAAAAGCCGATGTCGACACTACCCACTGCCTGCACCAGCCATCGCCGTCGGTCACCACCGATGCCGCCAATCACCGACGCCACCAATCACCGACACTGCCATTTCCATCATCGCCGCCGCCTTATCGAGTTGCGGCGCTATCCTCATGTTGCACCACCTCCTCATACAACGCGAAAGCCGTGACTTTTGGCACCACCGCCTCCTTCGGCGAGATTGATGTAGATCTATGTTCTGGGAAAACAACTACATCGAAATCCCATCTCAATGCAATGCTTTCAGAAACACAAAAGTTGAGTCAAAGTGCCATATTAAGGACTTATTAATAGCATATTGTCATGGCACTAATTGTCAAAAACACGATAACTTTGTGATGACATTGATTACCAAAAACATGGCATTTTTTACCATCTTAAAATGGTATTATAAGAAATTAGTTATGTCAAATTTTTTAAACAGATAAACTGAAATAATTAAAAAAATAAGATCCAAAATTTCCATGCAAGTGATCGCTGGAGACTCACAATTTTCAATCCAAAAATTACTGATCTAGAATAGCAATTTTCAGTTTGAATCTCAAAATTAAACATATGACACAATAGAAAATAGCAAAAAAAACAATAGAAGAAAACAGAGGAGCAAGGAGCCAAGGATGAGGGAGAAGAGGATGGGGGAGGTGGATACTTTCCGGAGAAGACCGGTATATCGCCGGAGTTATGGCAGGCCTGACAGTGCAGAAGAGAAATCTTTGACTAGCGGAAGAGATCGAGAGAGAAAAGTTGGCCGCCGGAGATGGGGAGTATTGCCTCCGCCTTTGAAATCCGTGGGAAAGAGCAACTTTTGTAGATATGCAGGTGAAGGAAAAATGAGATGACATATGAGGGATGGAAGGAAGAGATGGGTAAGGAGAGACCCGTGCGGCCGTGCGTGACAGCTCATGAAGGAAGATAAAATTATTAAATTTAGGGAGGATAAATTCAGAAAAAGAAATGGATAGTCAACTAAAAGCTCCTATTTAGGGAATAAATCAATAAGAACTCCTATTTTGGAACTTTCTTATTGTTTTACTCCTATTTAGGACAATATCTTTATATACTATATGCATACTAGAGAAATGAGGAGCCGAGACAGACGTAGGGACATCATATCTGGTCTGGTAAATGTCTGGTCTGGTCTGGTAAATGTCTGGTCTCTGTGTATTTTATAACTGTCCAAGTCTGGGTCTGGTTTGATCTCATCTGGTCTGGGACTGAAAACAATCCACGTAAAAACATCCTACGTATAAATTAAGTAGGCAGTTGACTAGTGTTGTCATGATGCATGGATACATTAATCACACTTAAATTTCGTACGCATTTAACTTATTAGTCTTCATGCATGCATCGATGTACGTACTCCAGCTTTAGCTCATCTAGAAGATAGGCATGGCACATGGACAAATGTTTGGGCCGCCGCAGCCTCTACCACATCAATTAGCAGGGCATGCCATGACACCTCTATATCAACTTATTGACAAAAGTATGACTAAAGTTACTATAAAAAAACACTATGGTCACTTAAGTGTAAAAATTGAACATAAAAACGGTTGTTAAATGTTATTCTTATAATTAGTACACTTAAGAAGTCACATTTTTGGCTATTAACTTTATTTAGTTATACGGAGTATATGTGTTGTTGTCTCACACCAGATATCTCTTAAACAATTAAACACTATATTAAGATGTGAGCTACTCCTCATATCAAGGTGACCTTTTAGGATGGAAGCCCAGGTCTTAACATGATATCAGAGCCAAATCGATCCATGGTGTGGGCCCCTTATGAAAAATGATGACACGATTTAAAAATGACAATGACGAATCGATGAAAAATGAATGACGACACGATCCAGACAAAGTGTCTGGTCGTGAGGAGGGTGTTGTCCCACACCGGATATGAACTCCAAGTCTTAACAATATGTCATTAATTCTTTTAACGAAAAATGGCAAAAATATCACCTCTACACTTTTGGAAGACAAAAATATGACTAGTTTTTATGTTTTCAACAAAGTGACTAATATTTGTTTAATAAGTTTCTTTTAATTATAATTGTTACCCAACTACCCACCACCCCTGCAGCCCTGCCCCCTACCCCACCCTTGTCCCACCGTCTCTTCTAGCAATAATCGCTTAGAAACCGCCGGTTGCCGGCTGCCGGCTGCCTGAAAAATCGTTACAAAATTTCACCAGAACTTTTCAGTTTTTTATAACTCGTCGGAAAATTTCGCCAGTAAAAGTCATCTGATTTCTTTCCAGATTGTCAGGGTGACATCTATGGCGGCAACAATGAAATGAGTATTTATAAGTCATTAGTATTTAAGAAATATCAAGAATTAACTTTGATATAATCTTATTTGAATATTTATAGAGGCAAGTTTGTGTGTTTCAAAAAAGTTAAAAGATGGTTACATGTGGTCCTTTCACATTCTGGTACTCCTGTTGATTGCTATTTTAATGATATAAGCGCCTTTTACGATAAAAAAAAGTTAAAAGATAGCCAACTCAATTTTTTTTAAAGAAAAAAGATATTTTAAAAAAACTAATCTGATCCAATACAGGTGCGGGTCAGTCTATGATACATTAAAGGGGGGTAAATTTGGCAAAGTATATATCAGGAAGAAAAAAAGAAATATGGTAGGGCCGGTTATAGGGGATTACGCTTCTAATAACTAACTCCTGGCCACCTGGGAACGTGCAAGGACATGTGTGCGTGCAGTGAGAGTGGGCGCAGAGGGGAATATAGCGGGGATAGCCTATTGGAGTTGGGCAGACTGGAATTTGGCTTGTCCATAGGAGAGTGAGGACTCTAAAAACCCTTTTATGATTTCATTCCTGTTTTCTCAGTTTCATACCTTGTAATTACGTTGGATCATTCTGGTTTCAGACTGTTTTCTTTCAATACTATCAATACGAAGCAAAACTGTTGTTATTATATACCTACTATTGATAGATTCCTATCAATTTGGTATCAGAGAGTGTGATTCTGCGAGTGGATGGTCGCGACCAGAGGCGCGATGGAGCACAGCATGGACAATATGGAACTACGCGTGGGAAACTTAGAAGGATCAGTGAAGCAGATCCTTGAGAGCATGGAATCTTTTCACGCAGAGTTCAGAGACTTCGCGAAGAGGAAGAGTGGTGCGAGAGAGGACGAAGGGGAGTTCTCACCCGGCGGAAGTGGAATAACTTCACCGCAGGGGAAATCCGGAGGGTACGATCATCAAGGGCGAACACGAGGTCGCAAGCTAGAGATTCCAGTGTTTAATGGAGACGATGTGCATGGTTGGCTAGTCCGGGTCGAGAGATATTTCCGGGTCAACGAGCTCCAGGAGGAGGAAAAACTCGACGCAGTGGTGATCACAATGGAGGAAAGAGCCTTTAATTGGTTCCAATGGTGGGAAGAGCAGACGGGGGAGAGAACATGACCGGAATTCAAAGTCGCGGTGCTGCGGCGGTTTAACCCGGGTGCATTTATTGATTCGATGGGCCCATTATTGAGGTTGAAGCAGGAAGGGACCGTTGCGGACTATAGGGATCATTTTGAACTCCTTGTAGCTCCGTTGAAGAAGGAGGAACGCACCTTACTTTCCAGCATCTTCAGAAATGGCCTCAAGAACTAAGTTCGAGCGGAGTTGAAGCTGTTTAAGATCATTGACTTCGCAGAATTAATGGATCAAGCTTTGGTTGTTGAAGAGAAGCATCAAGCTTTGTTTGGGAAGGGCAGTGGAGCAAAGGAAAGGATGGAGACCAAAGACAGGACCTATACTCCTAAGTTTCGAAGCCTGTGGGATAACAACAAAGACAAAAAGTAAGCTGACCGGAAAGATGGGTCTACCGGGGGTAAAGGAGGAGAAGGCTGGAAAAGGAAGTCACTAAGCCAAGCTGAACTAGAAGAAAGAAGTAAGAAAGGGTTGTGTTTTAAATGTGGAGATAGATGGGGTAAAAGGCATATATGTAAAATGAAGCACCTGAGGCTGATGTTGTGTGAAGGGGGAAGTAGTGACGAAGAGGAATTTAAAGAATGTGAGGTTGTAGAAGAGTTTAAAACTCTACAATTATCCTTGCAAAGCAGAGAAAGGGTTGCTACCCACAAGTCCTTCAAGGTATGGGTGATGATTGGAGGTAGGAGGATATTAACCTTGATTGATTCAGGTGCAACAAGTTGTTTTGTGTCCCCGGAGATTGCTGAGATTTTGAAACTGAAAATAACAGAGACTCCAATTTTTGTCGTGGAGGTGGGAACTGGGGAGCAAATCAGAAACAACGGGGTCTGCAACAATGTTTGTTTCACAATTCAAGGGATAGAGTTCAATCAGGACTTCTATCTAATGGATTTGGGAGGATGAGAAGTGGTGTTGGGACTGGATTGGTTGGCTGGTGTGGGGAACATAGAGGCAAATTTCAAAAACTTGAGCCTAAAATGGACTAGGAATGGGAAGAAGCACATCATACACGGTGATCCATCTCTCTGCACAGGGCAAGCTTCCTGGAAAGCCTTGTGGAAGGCATTGCAAGACAAGGGAGTGGGCTTCATAGTGCAGCAGGAGGAAGGGGGTGATACTGTCAATACTGACCATATTTTTTTTGAATTGTTGAAGGAATTTCAGGATGTATTTGACATGCCTGCAGGGCTCCCACCACCTCATGACCATGATCATGCCATTATCTTGAAACCTGGTGCTGAGATACCCCATATCAGGCCCTATAGATATTTTTTACCAAAAGAATGAGATTGCAGTCAGGCATTGTGAGGCACAGCACTAGCCCTTTTTCAAGTCCGGTTTTGTTGGTAAAGAAAAAAGATGGCGGATGGAGTTTTTGTACCGATTATCGTGCACTCAATAAGGTAACGGTACCTAATAAGTTTCCCATACCTATCATTGACGAATTATTAGATGAATTCGGAACTGTTGTAGTGTTCTCTAAACTGGATTTGAAATCGGGTTATCACCAAATTCGAATGAGAGAGGAAGATGTTCACAAACCAGCCTTCCGGACCCATGAGGGCCATTATGAGTATTTGGTCATGCCTTTCGGCTTTGACCAATGCGCCCTCAACCTTTCAAGCATTGATGAACCAAGTGTTGAGACCATTTTTGAGAAAATTTACCCTAGTATTCTTTGATGATATACTAGTGTACAATGGGAGTATGGAGGAGCATGAAAAGCACTTGAGAAAGGTTCTAGAGTTGCTGAGAACTAATCAGTTATATGCAAATAAGAAGAAATGTAGTTTTGGACAGTCTCAAATTGAATACCTAGGTCACTTAATCTCAAGGGCAGGGGTGGCAGCGGACCCCAGAAAAATTGAAGATATGCTCAAGTGGCCTACTCCAAAAGACTTAAAAGGGTTGAGGGGATTCTTAGGTATCACAGGCTACTACAGGAAATTCGTCAAGAACTATGGTAAGATAGCATGGCCTTTGACTCATTTGTTAAAGATAGGTCGTTTCTTATGGAATGAGGAAGCACAGCAGGCTTTTGAATTGTTGAAAACCATGATGACCACACTGCCGGTATTGGCTATCCCTGATTTCAACAAGGAATTCGTGATAGAAACTGATGCATCTGGGAAGGGGATTGGGGCGGTTCTTATGCAAGAAGGCAGACCCATTGCGTATATGAGCCAAACTCTTTCTGATAGATCTCAACAAAAATCTGTCTATGGGAGAGAATTGATGGCAATTGTCCTTGCTATTCAAAAGTGGAGACCGTATCTACTGGGAAGGCATTTCCAAGTATTAACTGATCAAAAGAGGTTAAGGTTCTTGACGAAGCAACGGATTATGGGTGAAGAGCAGCAGAAATGGGTTTCTAAACTGATGGGATATGATTTTGAGATTTAAGCACAGGCCTGGGAAAGAGAATAGAGCCGCTGATGCATTGTCCAGGCAAATGCAGTTTGCAACATTGTCTACTGTGAGATGTGAAATCTGGGAGGGCTTAGAAGATGAAGTCCAAGCAGATGATAAGCTGAAACGCATTGTGCAGGATCTGTTAGGTGACTCAGCCAGTCATCCCGGGTATCAGTTGAAGAAAGGCAGGCTGTATAAGGAGGACAGAATTGTGGTTCCCCGAAATTCACCCCGAATTTCTTGGATACTCAAAGAATTGCATGACTCGGCCATCGGAGGTCACTCTGGCTTTTTTAGAACTTACAAAAGAGTTACTGCTCTTGTGCATTGGGAGGGAATGAGGAAACAAATTCAAGACTATGTGCAATCTTGTGAGGTATGCCAGAGAAATAAGTATCAAACTCTGAGTCCGGGAGGACTTTTGCAACCACTACCTGTTCCCCAACAGGTATGGAGCGACATCACAATGGATTTCGTTGGCGGTTTACCTAAGGCTATGGGAGTGGACACTATTATGGTGGTGGTAGATAGGATGAGTGGATGACTAAGTATGCCCATTTCATTGCGCTTAGTCACCCCTATACAGCTAAGAGTGTAGCAGAAACATTCATTAAGCAAATAGTGAAATTACATGGCTTCCCGGAATCCATCATATCTGACAGAGATAAAGTGAGTGTTTTTGAGTAGTTTTTGGGCTGAACTATTCAAGCTAGCAGGCACTAAATTGAAGTACAACAGTGCATACCACCCACAAACTGATGGGCAAACCGAAGTGATTAACAGATGTTTGGAAGCCTATCTCAGTTGTTTAACCGGTAGGAAACCTAACCAGTGGCCCAAGTGGCTCAACTGGGCAGAATTTTGGTATAATACCATCACTCGTCTGTAAAAATGTCTCCATTTGAAGCTTTATATGGCAGACCCCCACCGGTGCTTTTACGAGGTGATGTTCATCATTCTTCGGTTGATGAAGTCAGCAGATTAACAGCGGAGAGAAATGACATGATCAAGGAATTGCAGGAGCAGTTGGTGAAGGCTCAGGATAGAATGAGAGCTCAAGCTAACAAGCATAGAAGGCCTGTGGAGTATCAGATAGGAGAGATGGTTTACTTGAAAATCCAGCCATATAAGATGAAGAGTTTGGCTAAGCGAATCAACCAGAAATTGAGCCCACGTTACTATGGTCCTTATGAGATTGAAAAGAAGATTGGAGCTGTTGCTTATCAGCTCAAGCTGCCTCCAGACAGTAAGGTGCATCCAGTGTTCCATGTTTCCCTGTTGAAGAAGGCAATCGCCCCCACAGTAGATTTTCAACCCCTCCCAGCCTGTATGAATGAAGAATGGTTGCTGGAAGTTCAACCAGAAGCTGTCAAGCAGCTGAGAACAAATGCCCAGGGTGAGCTAGAAGTGTTGATCAAGTGGCAAGGCTTGCCTGAATTTGAGAACTCGTGGGAGCTGGTGACTAAATTCAAGAGGGAATTTCCTTTCTTTCCCCTTTAATGATACATTAAAGGGGGGTATATTTGACAAAGTATATATCAGGAAGAAAAAAAGAAATATGGTAGGGCCGGTTATAGGGGATCACGCCTCTAATAACTAACTCCTGGCCACCTGGGAACGTGCAAGGACGTGGGTGCGTGCAGTGAGAGTGGGCGCAGAGGGGAATATAGCGGGGAGAGCCTATTGGAGTTGGGCAGACTGGAATTTGGCTTGTCCATAGGAGAGTGAGGACTCTAAAAAACCCTTTTATGATTTCATTCCTGTTTTCTCAGTTTCATACCTTGTAATTACGTTGGATCATTCTGGTTTCAGACTGTTTTCTTTCAATACTATCAATACGAAGCAAAACTGTTGTTATTATATACCTACTATTGATAGATTCCTATCAGTCTATCTTACCTTCAATTTTGTAATTTTGAGAGTTATTGTTGGTTACGGTCTTAGACGTGTGCTCGCCTTTTAATGTAGAGAGCAATAGATGGATTAAAAATGAAAGTATGGGGTCGGAGAGAGTAATGTAAAGCATATAGTTATAATGTTGGATCATCATTACATTACATTTACATTACGTCGATTGATCATATTATAATACCTTCCTCCTAACATAATCAATCTAGCTTCTTGAATGGTATTGGTATGGATCGAGTAGAAGTAGTAGTGCATAAAACACACAGTATAGTAATAATTTATGTACTCGCATGAATTGCAGATTTTACACCATCACGAGGGAGTACGCCCATCCATCACAGATTTTCAGCAGGGGGATCTCCTACTCCTAATAAAGCCAAATCTCCCATTTCTTCCCCTCTTACCACCGATCGGAAGAAGAGACTTGCAGAGCTTTTCAAAGAAAGTCTAGGCAGCAATAAAGAGTTTGATGCTTTGGGTGAATATTATTCCATGAGCGAGCCGCCTAAATCCAAGTTGCAAGGAACACCACCATCATCTGCATGCAGCACTGCTGCAAGCCAAAGTCAAGAGCTCGACGTTTCACCAAACTCACAAAAGCGGGGACAATGTTGTCTTCCGGTCCCAAGGCCGTTGCTTTCGAGGCTTAGCTTTAGCGGGGCACGGAAAACAACACACTGAATGAATGGGCACATGTATCGTAGGTTAGGTGTTTGGGTGAGCAACACTCCAAACACCATTCCAATTTGTACGTGCCCCTGATGTTAGACTTCATTGAGATTTGAGTGTCGTGTATATAGGCACACACATATGTGTATGTAGTTATATTAATAAAGAAATGTTTTTTATTTTTATTTTTAATTCCATGTAATGCTTGCTGGCTGATTCAGCAAGTGGCCGGCCGGATTTGCTACAATCATGTAAGAAACTAGAGAGAGTAGCATGAGACTGGCCTGGCATATTGGCATGACCATTGTCCTGATTTGTGCATAGCCCCTGCCAGCCACGGTTGTATGATCTGTACAGCCTATATTGGATTTTTTCTTGCAACCCAATTTTGTTTACAACAATGTTTGATGTACTCACTCTTATACCCACCATGTTTGTGAATGTTTTTTTTGTCTGTGAACCTGATTCACAGACAATATTTTGTCTGTGCAAAATATTGTCTGTGAATCGAGGTTCACAGACAAAAAAAACACTTCACAAACATAGGTGGGTACAAAAGTCGGTATAAGAGTGGGTACAAAGATCATTTTTGTTTTGTTTAGTATATTACATCTAGGACCTGGCATGTACCAACTACCAAATTTGTACTCCGTAATAGAAATTGTGCAATATAGGATAAAATTATGGTCCAAGCTCAAAAGTATGACCAAGTATGTTTTACACTTTTACTCCTCAAATAGGGCTTAGTTCTATTAAAAGAATAATTTGATTAAACTTTCCCAAAATATGATTGAACAAGTCATATTCTATGAATAAATTAACAATAGTCATATTTAGCAACTTTATCCTTGATTTATTTATCATTTTTAACCGGGTTTGGATTAGGGTTGGACTAGGACCGGTGCTCGGACCGCCAATGTGCGGTACTGGACCGGCCCGGTTGACCGGGACGGGGCCTAGGACCCGACTTGGGAGTGTTTTGGCCTTTTGGGGGCGGGTTGTAGCCCTCTTGGAACCGGCCTGGCCGGTCCGGGACTGGTCCAGGCCATTTTTTTTATTTTCTCGAACGGATTGGGTTGGATTGGATTGGGTCGTTTGGGGGTGTTTGGGGGTGGGTAGGAATAAATAAGAAAATAAAAAATAAAATAAAAAACACCCGATCTTGACCCGAGCCCGGTCCGGTCCCGGAACCTACTCGGGCCGGTACCGGGCCTCCAACTTCCAACCCTAGTCCCGCCCGTGACCCGACCCAGACTCGGTCCCGACACGGGCCCGGTCCACCCCTAGTTTGGATTGGGTGGTTTGTTCCTACTTAGGCTCCGAACTAATTTTTCTTACCGATTACCATGAAATCAAGGCCCCCTACCACTTAAAGAAAACTACCAAGGATGTTTTCTTTTGGACTGTTTTCAGTCCCATTCTAGATCGGATCGGATCAGACCAGATCAGACTTGCGTAGTTATAATAAAGTACATAGAGACCAAACATTTACCAGATCAGACCAGCAAAATTCAATCCAAAAGAAAACATCCCAGGTGACTAGTCGGCGCCTGGGCGGGTGCCTAGACCGATTTTTAGAATCTTGATGCTACTAACACATTTTTCGTGTTTATCAACCTACTAGTAACATTTTTTTGAAGTTGTTAATCATTCACAATTAAAACGCATTGACATGAAAAACCGAGATCAACTTTACAATGTCCAAAGAATCTCCTTTCTTGGTATGCATGAGATACTGAACTTTATTCCTTAACACTTTGAAGCTAATGTCTGTGGATCCACCAGAGTACTTCCAGCCTCCCCTTCGAGTCTTTGTCGGTCGAGAACATTGGCCTTTGTCTGGAATAAGGGAGTCCATTAATGCGACAAGAATCGTCAAAAGTAAACTTCATTAACTATCCTTCAATGCAAAATTGTAGCTCATCTTTGGGTTGTTGACATAATAAAAGTCTTAACAATAATAAATGGATGATTTGCTCGGAGAATTGAATAATCAGAACATCAACAAGATTGCATGATAAGCTCACACTTTAGTGAATGCTTCTTGTGTCATTTCAATCACTAATTATTATTTGTTAAATGTTTTGTCAAATATTGTGATTTCACCTATAAAATGGACTTTTACGCTTTTGGTGTTGTATAAATATATTTTCAGGAAAATAAGTTCATGACTAGCATTAACAAGTTATTGGAACAAGATTTGAAAAAAATAATAATCAATGAACGTATACAAAAACTAGTCATATAAATATCATATATATATATATATATGAAAGTGATGATTATATTGTTATGACTAATACTATCCTACACCATGAGAGTGGATAAGAGACTCATATCAAAGATATTTAAAGGACCCTGTACCAATATGGACTTTCAACTTATGAAAAAGATTGGGCTAATCCGAGACCTCCTTGTCCTTGTATCTAAATTTGATTCTATTGAGAGCACAATTGAAGATCTTTCCCTTCTGACTATCAATAATAAATTGTGCTCTTCTAAAGTTTATGACTTGATTAGAATAACCGGAACTAAGCATGTTTGGTTGTCCTTTATTTGGAAAGCCTACATACCACCTATGTTCTCATTCATTGTTTGGCTTGGCTTCCGCAACCGCCTTCCAACATATGATAATCTTAGTAGGCTTGAATTGGTTAACATCCGCCCATTTTTCAAGGGTGCACCGGAGATGGTACCACACCTATTTTTTGGTTGTCAATTTACAGGTGTAGTTTGGAGCAGAGTTAGAGCATGGATTGGAATGCCTAGACAGATGTCTACACTGGACAGCTCGATGAAATGGATCAAGGACCATGGAGGAGCGGGGATAAAGGCCAAAACAGTTCGGATTGCCTTCATCTACACCGTATATTGGCTGTGGAGAACGTGAAATGCAACCATATTTGATGATCCCAAAGCTAAAGAGAAGGATGTTTTTGCTAGGATCAAATACACGGTGTATAAGATCCTTTATAATATTTACCCCCATGAGCTTATTACTTTTTTATACTTGATGACGTGTGTTGGCCCATCACCTTTCTTTTTGTGTTTGGGCTTGATTGTATAGTTTTTGAGGTGATGGATTTTCCCATGTTGGGATAGCCCTATTTTTATCCCCTTTTTCTTTACGTGTACATAAACTCTTTGGATGATATATATAATTACCCTTGATCCAAAAAAATGACCTTGTACCATGAAAGTGGATAACGAATACTTTATTATGTATAGTTCAAATATAAGCATGAAAAAATATGTCATAGAGAGGCGCTCGTATCGACCAAAGGGTAGCTCGGTTAAGAGCGAGCTGTTTGAAGGTGCTCACGTACATGATATTAACCGAGCTCCCTGTGTAGCATTTGATGACGAGGGTGTCCCTGTGAGATGGGCACCATCAGAAAGATCCTTATCAGAAAAGAATATAGGGTCCGACTTGAATCTCTTATCTTGGGGAAGCGCATGGGATACCTCGTCAATACAAAGCGACTAGGCCCATTTTTTGCGCAGGGTGCCTGAGTCACCTCGCGTGTTGCCTCCTGCTATGAAAATGGTGTGGTGTTTCCATGGGGCGGCCTTCAGAGTCGTCGTCATCACTGATGTTGTCGATCTCTCGCTTCTTCGTCACCCCCCCCATCCCGATAGCTGGTGTGTCGGTCTCGGTTTATATCAGAAAAACAGTCTAGACTCTAGAGGGGGGGGGGTGAATAGACTGTTTTTTTTTTTGCGGGACAGAAACTATATATCTCACAAAACTGGCGCTGTTCTGGTTAGAACAGGTCTGCAACATAAAAAGTTGTTCTCGTCGGCCAGCCTACAGAACATACTAAAGGCAAAGAGCCTTTCTGCTTCTCTTAAGGCGTATTCTGTTGAACACAAATACTACGGACTTTAAAGCAAGGTAGTTAGAATCCTAAGTACAAGAAGTAAAAGCAGTAAGTTTATGACTTCGGGGATTTTTATAGTGGTTCAAGGAACAACGTGTTCCTCTAGTCCACTATTCCACTAAGATGCTTGTAAAGTCGTTACGACACTTAGATCCCTAGCATTTAAGAAGTTCTCCATGCATTCTTCAAGTTTAGTGTCCTTGTCACCCGAGATGCACTCTTGAGGCGGCTTCCTGATGGCTGACCTTTTCAGTGAGCTTGCATGAATTATCCCCACTTAACTCTCATTACTTTGGCGCCCTTCTTTTAAAAGAAGAATACTTTTGAAGTTTCAAAAGGTTTTCCTCCAACGTACTTGTTGAGGTTTAGTCCCGTAGATCCGAAAGCCCAACACACGCTTTGGATATTGAGGGTGTTTTGTCTCGGTTAAAAGGTGTAGAAAATACTAGTATCAAACAGTGAATTAAGATTTAACTCAGAAGCTAGCTTGTATTACGTAATTCTGTGATTGCACTGAAACTGCCCAAAGGTCTGTCGGTGTGAGTTCAAATACAAGAACAAGAGAGATGATTATATTTCTAAGCTCTGAGTATGAAATTGCTAACCCATTACAATGTATTAAACGCATGTATTTATACTAGAGAGGAGGTGGGTGAGATGGACACGTGACCGAACCAGGTAGGCCGTTACCTCTGCCACGAGTGCACCTATGCCTCTACTTGCTACCGCCATATTTTAGCATTAATTGAAGTTATCCCCCGGTCGGGCACCCCGTTCGGAGTGCGGGACCCCTTTGTGGATGTTTTGATGCCAGTCCCCTGTTTAATTAGTTCAAGTGGATAATTCTACCCGAATGCTATCCAGGTATCCCTCGTTCGGGACGTCTTAGACCTTTCTGATTCCGTTGAGCTTCCTGTTTTCCCTGGGCCCTTGGGAGAACTGTCAAATAGGTCCTCGAACTTTCATAAAAAGGTCAAATAAGACCTTATATAGGGGCGGTTCTTGATGAAATTTTTTGATGAAAATTTTTTAGCATCTTATTCATCAAGTCTAGTTTACTCATACCAAATTTCAGCTAAAACTTCATTCAGCTATATGCTGAAATTTGGTACAAGTAAACTAGACTTGATGAATAAGATGCTTTGGGCCGGGTGTATTGGGTTTGGGCCCAATACCCCAACACGAGTCCCCCACTTCCTATGTCTCGAACAGTAGTGAGTGCATACGGAAGTAGAAAAATATTGCCCGAACGCTGCTCGGGTATGTAGCGGACGGGATTTCGCCAGTTCCCGAGGCATAATCTTGACGGTTTTCTGCGGCTGCCGTTTCAATTTCCCGATAATCGTCATCATTACTTGTAGGCACTGTTCTAAAAATCGGCCTAGGCGGACCGAATAATCGGCCTAGGCGGCCTAGTCGATCCTAACTGTAGAGGCCTAGCCGGCCTAGTCGGTCAAAAAATCGGCCTAGTCGGCCAAAAAATCGGCCTAGTCGGCCCCTTAACCGCCCGATTAACGCCTAGCGAGTTTTAGAACAATGCGT